CCAACCTCGTCATGAAATCCATTTAAATGATCATACGATGCCTCCTCGCTCGCTGCTTTGTCGACAGCGACACTGGTGGCTTGTGTTGCCAGATTGGGTGTTTTTTCGCTACATATTAAAGGAGTAGTTAACTTTAAAAAAAAAAAAACTTATTTGAAAAACTAAAACAAATAATCCACTTCATTGGGAATCAAACGGTTCAAGGTCCAAAAGACAGTTTCAGTGCAGCTTCAAACGATACCAGACGATGAATAAGGGTCTTCATTTTTATGAACGAGTTTGAACAGGAGAGTCATGAATGTGCATCACAGAACAGAGCAAGGCGAGCAATTGTGATTATAAAACTTAAACTTTTTAATTCCGATCGTTTCGCTAGATAAGACCCTTATTCATCATCTGGAGTTGTTTAAAGCCCCTTGAAGCTGCACTGAAACTGTCATTTGGACCTTGAAACATTTGGTTACCAATGAAGTCCATTATATGGAGAAAATCCTGGAATGTTTTCATCAAAAACCTTAATTTCTTTTCGACTGAAGAAAGAAAGACATGGACATCTTGGATGACATAGGGGTGAGTAAATTACCAGCAAAAGTTTTTTTTAAAGTGAACTACTCCTTTAAGGCCTGTTTACGTGTGTTTTTTTAGCCGGGTTTTCGCCTGGAAGGCTCTATAGAAATCTGGCACCCTATTGTACGAAGTTAAACTGACAGAGCGTGCGTTCACACAGACACCAGAATGAACGCGTTCACACACAGTAACGTTCACCAGGCAGTAATACAGTATGTTCAGTTCACGTTCGCCCAAAATATGAACGCGTTCATGAACTATCGTTCATTGAATGCATTCAGGCACAACCAAACTATACAATATAAACGTTAAAATAACACAAATTAATGCCCATGCATATATTCCTGCTCCTGCAGCAGTTTCAAATGATACACAACTAGCATTTTGTTATTCACTTGCTTGCGCACTTGAGTTATCAGTAACTTAAATGGATATTTTAGTATATTAAAGTTTAATGCTTTGACAGCGCATGACAAGTATTGACTAGTGCTTTCTAGAATAAATGATAAACATGTTACATTTCTCAGTACAATGCACAAGTACATTGAAAGATTTGAAAAAGTCTAATTGAGAAGGAGTACATACTCTTACAGTGTTTGAGGGCCGGGAAAAGTACACATGAATCGTGTGTAGCCAATGAAGAAGGAGGAAGACCTTAGACTGGCATGCAAGTTCGTTACAAACATATGCAAGTTTGAGCAGGAAGTAAAACAACTCGTTTTAAGAAGTTCACAATCTGTTCTTACATTTGGGAGACAATTTTTACATTCACAAACAGCTATATTACACTATACATAAAAGGTAATATCCAAAAAAAACATAATAGAGGCACTTTAAAGTAGTTTAACTACTTGATTGGGTTACTTTTGTATTTTTATGGTAGTGTTGCAAAGGATCACTAAGCTCACGGTTTGGATCATATTACTGTTTTTGAGACCCGGATCGGATCAGAAAAAAGAAAAAGGGGAGGGGTTAATACTTTCCTTAACTTTTCTAAAGTAAAGCCCACTGTAAGTACTTCGATAACACAGCAAAACTCTAAAAAGTAAACATTATTAAAGAGAAATGTAATCATTAAATGTAAAATAACAACACTATATTGTTCACTGTATAATTTATAGATTCAATGACATCGACGGCAGCAGACTTTATAGGCAGCTGTCACTTTAAGACCTAATGAACAGATCCAATTAGGGATGGGCAACGATTAATCGCGATTAATCGCATCCAAAATAAAAGTTTGTGTTTACGTAAAGTATGCGTGTGTGGTGTGTATAATTATTTCGTATATATAAACACACATGCATGTATATATTTAAGAAATATTTGCATCTATATACTTTATATATATTTACACATATTTAATACTATGTATAAATATTTGATATATTAAGAACACATTTTTCTTAAATATATACATGCATGTGTTAGTATTTATATATACAAAATAATTATACACACCACACACACATATATCATGTAAACACAAACTTTTATTTGGATGCGATTAATCGCGATTAATCGTTGCCCATCCAGATCCAATATAATGATCCACATCTGATTTCTTTCTCAACTGTTTACATTCACTTAGTTAAGACATGACCGACTGTGTTTACGAGAACTGCCGATACAGGTATTTTAACATCACTTTGTGTATACGTCCATTCAAGCGCAAAATCAATCAGGAATCAATTCAGTGTTCTCTCGCAATCTAACACATGACTTTCTGTTTGCGCGCGATTCGGGTGTGTGCAGCTGTGTGCTAAGACAACAGTGTGCGATAGGGATGCACCGATACCACTTTTTGGGAAAACGAGTACGAGTACTTGCATTTCAGTACTCGCCGATACCGATACCGAGTACTTAATAAAAAATAAAAAATAAACATGATTTAAATATTTTTATATACGGGTTTTTAGGTCCTTGATTAAATTACTTGGGTAACACTTTATTTTGATAGTCCACTTTACTAACTATAAGTAACTTTTCAATTACATGTCAACTAACTGTCATTAGAGTATTAGTAGACTAGAGTATTAGTACGATCAGCTTAATATCTGATAACACTTTATTTATTTGGTCCCCCAACAGACATTCAACTGACTATAAGTAACTTTGCGACTATAAGTAAACTTATTCTCCTAATCCAAAGCCATTCACTTTGAAATTGTTCCACACCAGTGATGCACGGGTTGCATACGGTGCTTTTTAGAGTTTGACCGCCATCGGTCACAGTCTACTTTCATTGAAAACACCATTCTGCTAAACTTCTCTTTTCATGTTCCACTTTCAAAGAAAGTCATAAGGGTTTGGAACAGCATGATGATGACTAAATCAACTATTTCTATGACACATCTTTTGGATTTTGGGTAAAACACAAGTTCTCTGGATGTCATCTCCGATTTACTCCAGACAGAGAAAGATCAACATTTCCATATGCAGGCTATAAAACAGCAGCGCGACCTGCCCGGGCCCTGGAGGAGACGATCGACTTCACGACACTCCTTACATGCTTCACATGCCTCTGTCTCACTCTCTTACACACAGAGAGAGAGAGAGAGAGAGAGAGAGAGAGAACATGAGAAAGTGGGGCAGTGGCTGTCCTGGTTACAAAGACCCACTCCCACCATCTGCTGCCGCATCACCGCAGAGACACAGTCATTCACAGGAAGTGCCTTCATCCCGCGCTCAGGCATGATGTAGAGGAAGAAGAAAGACACATGGTAGCCTGCAGGCCGGACTGTCAAGCCGGGGCTTGAACACTAGACCCAGTGATTGGTTTCCCATCTGAGTCATCATCTGTAGTATCGGTGCGACTCGAAGCGTGCTCGGTCATGTGGAGGAACAGGGTTGCCATTTTACATCCAACCCGACGGGCAGCTTTTACCTTTAATGTGGCACTACCTGTCGAGCAACTTTTTCTACAATTAAACCTTGATAAACATCTTTATTACGCCGCTTTGGTGCAGTAGATACTTCTTAGATACTTCGAACAGGTGTTTGTGTATCTCGAGAGAAATATTGGTTTGAGAGAAAGGGGTTAAACATGACACTGTTTGCAAACATCTGACGCAAATGATTACAGAGTGTCACTTATTTAAAATGTTCTTTACAGGCTGTAAATCAAGAGTGCGCTGAACTCTCTTGACTGAGGAGGATCATTAAACACCATTGAACTCTTCGAAAAATTCCAGTCATACTGATAAACGCTCAATAAACAAATCATTTGCCCGATCATACATAATTCCTTCTCTTTTTGAGTTAAGCTTTTTCACTCATTTATGCAGTTTTACTTGCATAAAAAAACTCATTTATTTAAATAAAAAATATGATATATGAGTTTAATAAAATAATGTAAGTAGTATGAACAAAATAAATTATGTACTGGTCTGGTATACTAAATGTTTAAAGGAATTAAATAAATATAACTTGTTTTGTTATATAAATGTAATAAAATAAAATAAGCTGGTCAAAAAAAATATCTGCCAGACCTTTTTGATTGTTTTTCCTCCATTCATTTAACAAAATCTATTAAAACATAAATCTTTCTTAGTTTAATACAATAATTATTCTAATAAAATAGTTACATTAAAGAACATTATGTATACTAATATATATTCAAAGTAAATATATACACATAAACATACTTTTATTATGTAAATGCAATAGAAATAAATAATATAAACTTAATAAAAGACCACATGTTATAATTACAACAATAAACAATAAAATACAATATTTTTATATATCAGATTAATGATTACCAAGATAAAAAAAACCTTTATTTAAATACTAACAGTTGGATGATGTTAAATGATAAATTATATTTTTAGCAGTTCTCTGTCCAATCAGTTTTATGTCTCAAATGCGATTTGATTTTAGAGTAACTTAAGCAATATGATTTTAGAGTTTAACCAGAAAAAAAAAAATCACTTCCTCACTTTGAGGAAACAGATTTGATGAGATACGAGAAACAATGATCTATAAAACATGACTATAGTTCGTCTGTGTGATATCTCATGTTCCCATTTGACATGATAAGTTTATGAAAACACAATGAGTTGAACAGGTTTCATATCGTCAAACCAGTCAGAAATGTGTCGTTCTAAAGACAAGACAAATCTCACATCCTCTTTGAAGTTTGAGACAATTCTGATGAATATAAGCAAACTTCATGTGTCCAAGTTAAACAGTATCTAACGTTAGACACACCCTCAATGTAAACGACACAAACCCCGTACACGATTACAAATCCGATCTACAAACCACTTAAATAAGATCAAGCTTTTTAAAAGATCGCCCTTCATGTGCTCTAATGTTTTCCCACAAACGGTTCGTCCCTGCTTTTCCATTTTACAACCAGATTTCCTGTCCGATCCCCACAGCAGTGTTGGAGATCAGCGAGTAAAACAGAGAAACACGCGCGCGCTTACCTGAACATAATTATTCTCACAGTAGTCCGCGACCCTCGTGAGGTTCTGGTAACTCTCTACGAGAGCTCGTTTACCGGCTGGAATTTCTTCCTCTAGTAACATCTGCAGCTCTGCCATCTTACATGTCTCCACAGAGCTTCCTACTCGTCTCTGGGATTTGATTGAGAGCTCAAGCTCAGCCCTGGTGAAGTCGGAGTCGTTCTTTTGATTCGAATCTCTCGTTGAATCGGTTCGCAAAACAAGATTCATATGCATAATTCGCATGACTGAATCAGTAAGAATCAATCTCGAGTCAACAGGTGTGTTCGACATCGCCTGCGGCTGGATGCAACCGATCGGCGAGAACAGCCGCGTGCAGGCAGGGAGGAGCTGCAAACGGAGACGTGAAGTCGGACAATTTCTGGTTCCCGTAGTGACGGCTCACGTGGTGTTTGCATGCTTATACCACAGCTGAAGTGAAATAAATGCAACATTTGCCAAATAAACAGATATTTCAGATATTTCAGACACATTTTCATTCAATACTTTACTGCTTCATACAGCATCTGTTTGAACTAGAATAAAGTTCAAAATAAGCCTATAATCAATGACGTGGAATCAACGTTTTTTAATCAGTTTTATTATGATAAACATGACACAATATAACATTGCGACTACATTAAAAGAGTGTTTACTGTTATAAAATACTGATTTGTGAGCTTTAGTGGAACTAAACGTGTGAGAATAAACACGAAACGCACGTGATCGTTGTCATGCGGTGAATCCGGCGAATCGTGGAACAGCTGTGACATCATCAGAGCTCGTGCAGCCGCTCTTCAGAAGCTGCGCTGGCTGAGTCCTCCGGCTACTCTCGTAACGCTCTCGCGGTACTTTGATGGCATATGTCACAGTCACGTGGAGTCAGCGCTGCATCAAGTCGGACAAAATTTCTAACCGGCATGCACTGTTTCAAGTCAGCCGCCGATCGGTCTGCGCAGAGCTGCATGAAGTCGAACAAGCCTAACGACTCAAACCATTGAACCGAGACATGCGCGACTCGTAATGAGCTTTGGAGTGAACCGATTAGAAGGCAGGAGGAATATTACAAAAAAACACACTGGAAATATGTTGACGACTTGATTATACGACACATTTATCAACACGCATACGAAAATTAGGTGGTTAACTTGCAAAAAAAACATGAGAAATGGTGATTGTATGGCCAAACGTAATCCGAACCAGCCTACATTTAGGTTCATAATTGTTGCAAATGGGATAAATGAAATTACAATATACAAACCTATAGGCTAGCCTAACTTAATAAAGAAAAAAATACCAATAAACAGACACATGTGCTCAATGAGCATTTGAAATATATATTTTTAATTATGCAGAAATAACAAATACAAATCAAGACATTAATATACAATACAACAAAACAGAGGGATACATTCCATAAACTTAAATAACATTAAACAAGCTTAAATGATCGACAATATTGCAGAGTCTTACAAGCAGTAGAGTTTTTAGAGTTCTTCAATAAATTTAAATACATATCAATATCTTTCTTAAAAAAAAAGAAGGAGTTTTCTTTGAAAATTTACACTTGTGAATATAAAATTTGGCAAGAAAAAGTAGCAAATTAAGGACAAATTTAGAATGAAAGGGGTTTCATAGAGTAACCAAAAAACATAATTTTTTGGTTTACATAGAAGTCTAAAGAAAGATACCTTTTAATAAAATTTGAAAAATCAATCTAAAAGATTTTGCAATACATACATTCCCAAAACAAATGAATAATTGTTTCATCAAACTGATGACAAAAGGAGCACAAGGGGGATCCCAGGGACACGTGGTGACGTAACTACGTATTGACGCAAAAGAATCAGTGATTTTTTTTTATTTATTTAAACGGTTCGTTGCAAAGATCTATTCAAAAGAGCCGATTCTATGAAATGAGTCCGATTCCCCCTGGCCTCGCTTTCGTCCTACAGCGTCACCTATCAACACAGCTGATAACAGTGTTGCTAAGCGAATGGAACGATGGGATTTGTAGTGTTACAATTCATTTAGTAACGAAGGACGGAGCGCTTGATGTGTTTCATTAAGTGCTACAGTGTTGGTCTTCACGTCGATTTGCGCATAGAATTATTAAACGAATTTGTTTCTTTAGAGATATGGGTCAAAATATTGCTAGGCAGTTTAAAAGTTCGTTACTAGTTACGGTTTTTATGTCACAAACCCCCTTGAGTAAGCTTACCTCGATGAACTACATTACCCAGAATGTTACGCGTGTAGGTTAAAAACTATGGTATTTGTAGGATTGAAATGCCGTTGTTGCAAAACCCTCGGCAGTTTCGTTCTCTAAAGAAACTACAATTCCCTTTAAACACCCGAGGAAGGCTTCCGTATGTCGACTGACAGGTTCGTATTCATGAGGTCGTAGTCCTACAGTACCAACAGCACAGCAGGTAGAGCAGCAAATGGTAAAGTATCAAATGCTAGTGCTTCGTCGCTTCGATCATTTCTAATGCAGGTTGATCTAGAAATATCTCATTAAATAGTATTTGGTGCACTTTCAGTCATGTCTTGCTTGTCCTTCAGGATTTGTCGAGACATAATGGGTTGTTTTTGGCTTTGTTTACTTCTTTTGAAATGATAAATAGTCATATGAACTTGTAATGAGCAGCTTAGATTTACTGTGATAAATGCATTTCCTAAATATTTTAATATGTTATGTAACTTTTTAGGTTTGATCCAGATCTTGCTGTAGCGGTTAGATGGCCATGATGGAGGGGGACAACAAACCAGTCTACGAGCAGAGGTTCAATGCTGCTGTCAAAGTGATCCAAAGTTTACCTTCAAACGGTGAGTGGTTCGGTCTGTCATTCAGGTAGTGTATTGTGTGTTATTGCAGCAGTGCACGCGACCCCTCACCTACTTTCATTTGCTCGCCGCAGTTTTAATCAAATTACAATGATGTCGGGCTTCTATGGTCAACGCGATTAGCCTACATTCAGATGGGTTTGTGCCACTAGCCCTAATCACAGTCAAGGTGTGCTGATTGGTGATGTCTTACCATATGACAACATGCTAAAGACATGCTTATTGCATTTCTATGTAGAGGGATAGTCTACCCAAACATATGCTGTTTGTTTGTGTATTTATTTTGTGAAACACGAGATATATATTTTAAGAATCGATAATGCCTTCTTTAAAAAGACATGAGGATGGAATTTTTTTCCTTTTATGTGAATTCACATAAATTGGAATAAATTCATGCTTCAGAATGGATCATAACATTATAATAAATATATAGTAGTCAACATTTGAAGTGGTCAGTGGATCAAAAAATGTTCATCAAAGTTGTCCTAAGACAAGAACAGGTTTTGTTCAAAATATGTATAACTTTGATGAAGAGTTTTAATCTGCTTCAGATTAACTACTATATAGAGTAAAGTTGATCTTATTTTATAATGTTTAAAATAGTATGTATTGTATATATTTAAATAATGTTTTTTATATATATGTGTGTATATATTTCTTGACAAATCTCTAATATTGCAGTATTTTTTTGTTTTTCAATCAGGTTCATTTCAGCCTTCCAATGACATGATGCTGAAATTTTATAGCTACTACAAGCAAGCAACACAAGGCCCCTGCAACATCCCCCGTCCAGGATTCTGGGACCCCGTTGGCAAAGCCAAATGGTATTGAACCATTTCAATACAGAACCATTTTTGCTGAATGTTGATATTCAGACTCATCTCATGAAATGGCGTATGTATGACACACCAATAAGTATTTCCATTTTTTGCGTGCTATCAACACGCATAATCGCTTTTCAGCGTGTTTATGAACGCCGTTGACTTAACGTTACATTCCTGTTTATATAATATAGGACCTACCCCAACCCCAGCCCTAAACCTACCTGTCACTGGGGTTAATAACATGTATGAGTCTTCCCCTACCATCCTAGGAAAAAAAAATATCAGATGTAGATCCACGTTTTACTTTGTTCTGCTCAGACATTTAACGGCGTGTACATACACGCGGAATCACTCGGACGTTTAACGGTGTAGACAGAGAATGTCTAATTGAAGAGAATTGGCACTGGCTGGTTACTTTTTTGTCAAGTAATTTGAAAGTTGCATTCAAAAGGGAGGGCTTAGATAATACACTCAGCTGAAAATTGCATTAAGTTCTAAAAATCCATTCAAAAATGTGATGACGTCACACAATAGCAGAATGCTAGCGTTTTCCGGCCAACAACAGCCTAACCTGTAAGAAATCAAAAGGACATAAGTACTCGTTCATTCGACTTTTGGCCTATAATCTATATTGAACTTGCGGAATCAACAATAAAATCTATGTTAATTTAACGACAAGCAGGTGAAAGAGACACATTTAGCCGTTTAGCCCCATAGGCTACGTTCACACTGCAGGCTGAAACGACCTAATTCTGATTTTTATGCCACTATGCGACCTGTATCTGATTTTTTCATGACAGTCTGAACGACACAGATCCGATCTTTTCAAATGCGACCCAGGCTTGGGTATGTGGTCTAAATCCGATATGTATGCGATCTTTTGAAATGCGACTTCAATCTGAACAGCCAGGTCACATATACCGACCTGCACGTCATTGCATGCACCTGTAACTAGCCAATACACGCTAACTCCAATGCGTTTCTGCACTGTTATGGGCCGCTGCAGAGGTGTCTCTTCCCCAGTGTTGTGCCTGAACGTGTTCAATGAACGATAATGCATGAATGCGTTCATATTTTGGGCGAACGTGACAGTTCACGTTCGCCCAAAATAAACGTACTGTATTACTGCCTGATGAACATTACTGTGAACACGTTCATTCTGGTGTCTGTGAACGTGCGCTCTCTGTCAGTTTAACTTCGTACAGTAGGGTGCCAGATTTCTATAGAGCCTTCCAGGCGAAAACCTGGCTAAAACATCTAAACATGCCTTAAAATGTAGCGAAAAAACACCCAATCTGGCAACACCAGCCACCAGTGTCGCACCGCGGCCACCGGCGACAAAGCAAGGAGCGCGGAGGGAGGACGCGTACTATCAATTAAACGGGTTTTATGACGAGGTCGGTGAGGATCGGAAAAATCGTACATTTATGTGCAAACTTTGCCCGTCGATAAAATAATTGTTGCCTGTCTTTGTATATGGGCTGTGGCAATAATAATAATAAAACAAAAGCTCGCAACATATGAAAAAAAAAGAACTATTCCGCAAACAACAAGTGACGTCGTTGACCGTTGATTACTCTTCTGCGCATGCGGGTCACTTCTGGGTCATTTCACGTTCACACAGGAGATCACAAAAGGTCGCATTTAATTGGAAATGTGAATGGCCTTGCAAAAAAAACAATTTTTTTTAAAAATCGGAATTGAGCATTAAGCCCTGCAGTGTGAACGTAGCCATAGACTCCCATTCATTCTGCACTCACCCGTGATCTCCTCCAGTGGAATTCTAATGGAACTGCAACCAAGATGATACACAATGGGGCTAATAGGAAGTGCCAAGGCTCTCTGTTAGACAGGCTCTGGCGTAGACATTCACGCTAAAGATGACGGTTCGTTTTGGCGTGGACATACAGGTGGATAGCTCAAAATGCGTATAGATAACACGCCAATTGACTTGAAAGTGGCGTGTATGTTTACGCAAAGTCATGATGCCATGTTGCCATATAGAAATGTTTAGTTATGAATGTTTATAGTTTTTTAAAGGTTTACATTTTTAATCACTGTTAAATATGGGTTATTTTGCCCTTTTAAAAAGTCTTGATTTTGAAAGACTTGACTTTTTCACATATTTTACATTTTTGAAGTTCCACTTGGTGCAACTATTAAAGTCCCCGTGAACCGGAAGTTGCAAACGATTTTTCTCCAGTGCTGTGACGTATTTCCAAGTGAAACGGAATATTGAACAGAGGGCAGGGTTTTACTCTAGCGCTCCTCCTCTCCATCTCTCGCTCAGCAAACTAACGGTTTGAGGGGAGTGGTTAAGCGTTTCCCCACCCAAGCTGTGAAACCTACGTCATCAGAAAAAGAAACCGTTCCAGACCGGAAGTAACTTTTCAGATTTTGATTAAAGATTACCAAGGTAAAACATTTTTTAAATATATATTCACTTGCACGGATTAATTGTTCACCACAAGACTAGTAATATGGGCTAACAAAGTAAATAGGTTCAATTTTGATTTCACAGGGACTTTAATGCTAAAATAACATATTTCAGTTTCATATTTTTTTTTTTCAGTTCTACAATAATCTGCCATGTGTCTTTAAAAAGAGACACAAGGCAGTCTGTGCTCCAAAGCAGTGTTGTAGTACTCGAGACTCGTCTCGGACTCGGTCTCGAGACCATATTTTAATGGTCTTGGTCTTGTCATGGACTCGTGTCCATTTGGACTCGGAATTGACTCGTACTCGAACATTTTTTTTTTTAGGACTCAGAATTATTCCCGAGTCCACTCGAGTTCAATTCAAAATATTTTTCATGATTATTAATGTAAATGTGTAAATTGATTGGCACGCCCAGTGATTGGTGATTTTATAGTGCGTAACTGCGCATGACAAATTGTAATAAAATTACTTTTAACACCACCTATGTGGCCTTTTTACCCTAAACTGATCATATTTTTTAAACTCTAAGTAAATTCAGTAAAAAAAAAAAAAAAAGGATTTCTCTAAGTAAATAAAAGTAAATTAGGTAATCAACCCTTACTGGTCTCGGACTCGACCGTCTCTAGTCTCGGACTCGACTCGGACTCGACTCTCTATGGACTCGGTCTTGACTCAGACTCGACTCTCTCTGGTCTCGGTGTCGACTCGGACTCGAGTGAGGTGGTCTCGACTACAACACTGCTCCAAAGTATTCAAGATGTTTAACAACTAAAGTTGGAGATGTTATTTTGGGGTCTATGCCAGATTGCCAGTGTGAGTCTACATAATTTAGACCAGTGTCAGTGACACTGACTGAAAATGAACTGTTGGTCTGTTTAAAGTTCAGTGAAATAACAGATTATTATCAGTAACATCTGATTACTATATCAGTAACTTTTTGAAATCCGCTCTGCAAGTTCCGTATTTGTACTTCTGTAAAAACGTATTTTAAAGTCCCTGTAAAGTCAAAATTAAGTATGTGTTCTGAGTTTGTCACACCACAGAAAAATGTGTTATTAGCCACCCAGCCAAATTTGAATGATAAAAAAAGCCAGCAAGTACATAAAATAAGCTTTCAAAATCTTGAAAAAATGAGCAGTTATCTCTGTTCTCAAACGCTGGGGGGCGTGTTCGCTGGCTGCGCTGAAACCACGCCCATTCGCGGGGTGAAAGCTGTCGACGGTGATATTAGGGCCGTTTCTCAATATGCCTTCTTGTCTGTACTTGTGTTCTTGTGGACTTGTAAAACGTCATCAGTCGCGGCCCAAGTACTGTCCCAATACACAGTTTGTATTTAGGCAAGAACGGTTAAAAATCCCGGATGTGTTCTTGACACTCCCATTTTACCGAGGATGCATCAGTTGGTAACTTGTGTGAACTTGACGGCAGAAATATCCCATAATACATTTTGGCATTCGCGGAAGGAGCGGGAAGCAAAGAGAGGCAGGTCAATAGTTACCTGAATATTACCGAATATTACCGGCGTTTTTACCCGCCGTTGGCTAGTAATGTACACAAACAAACAACAGAAGCAGAATTAAAATGAGACAGGTGTTGCTTTATTGTTATGAATATACATTACATTGTAGTGTATGTAGAGTAATCCCTTAGGCTTGGGGGATAAAGCCTGGCTGTAATAATTCTCGTTATGTTTGGGCACTGCAGACGACGTCTGTGCGGGGGTACTATTGCGCAATACCAGCAAGAACACATCGTCTCAAACTGTCAGCAGCGTTCTGTGTGTTCGTCACCTCGTGAGTTCGTTCTTCCAAGAACAACTAGCAAGAGCTTTCTTCCCAAGAACACAAGTCCGTTCTTTGCATTCTTAGTTTTGAGAAACGGCCTAGGTGAAACTGCTTTCGCGACGGGAGGATGAACACTGAGGCGGGAGATAGTCGTTTCGGCCCCGTTCACCAGCAGCATCGGATTATCAGTGAATCCCAGTTGTCTCTGAGGAAAGTTTATAAAACTATCCAGTGTAAAATGATCACTACAGAGGCGGGTGTTGGCGGTGATCCTCAGCTCTTCATCAAGGTTGGCTCTCTAAAAACCTCTTCTTGATGTGATCGTTTTTAGGGAATTTAAATGAAGATACCGATCTGTTTTGTACACGATCGCATCCAGGTAGCCTATGCATGTTCGTGTCAAAGGCATAGCTAGGTAGCAAACTGTAGGCTCAGCTGTACTGACAGTCACTCGCGATTGAGCGGTGAATGCGAATGTGCTCGGGAAGTGTTATTGTGTGTTAGGGGAGAGATCAGACTCTGCGTCATCAAATAGGGGCGTGTCCAGGAGCTCATGGGCTCCAGTGCGTCATCGAGCCCTGTTTTAGCCCCGCCCAAACAATCCGTAAAATTGCAATGGTGAAAAACTGTTTAACGTTCTAAAGGCCATTGCACACCGAGTCCGAAATTCGCATCCGAAATTTTCGCACGTTAAAAAAAAAATTCGACCTCACGTTATGTCAGTCACGCTTGCACACCACCTCCGAAACTTTCGTCCGTCATAAAATTAATCGGATCGGGTTCGATTTTCTGCGTTTTTCGCATCCAGAGCCAGCATTTTGAGAGGTTTTTTGACAATTCAGGGCCGGGGGGAGCTCGTCCTCAAATCATTGCACATATGCGCCGTGCTTTCAGTTTCGGTTTTCAATTCGATCAAGTGTTTATGTTCTCTTCTCTATATTGGATTATGAAATTAATAAACTCCCTTTTCAATCAGATTGAAATTTAGGATCGAATAAGGTGTGATTGAGCAGCCTATTCGATAACTAATGTATTATTTGGGCACAATACACAATAACAGCCTAGCTGTTCTGTCTGCCCAGCGCTTCCAACGGGCCGCGCGCGGGTGTGTGTTTGTCCGTGTGTGTGTCCATACCTGGTCCATTTCAGACACACTGCCAGTCTCCGTTCAGAATCGATTGGTTCACGGAAATTGGTGGTCTTGTTTTTAATATGTGGCTCCAGAATCGCTAGCAAAGCATCGAACTGTCCCACTGACATTCTGAGGTAAATTTTGAATCGCTCAGGATAAATTCGCAACTCCTTGATAAGGAACTCTCCTTCCTCTCGGCGCAATTTCAGGATTGGATGGACGTAATATTTTCTCTTTCTTCCCTTTTCAATAAGAGAGAGGGCAAAAATCATCCTCACTGCTTGACGAATCCATTTGGTATTTTTGCGTTTTTTCCCGCAAAGGTTTAAGAAATACGCAACGGACTCGGTGTGCAAGGTTTCTATGCGTGACGAATTTTTAAGCTGACGAACACGAAAATACGCATACGAATATTTCGTGCTCGGTGTGCAATGGCCTTAACTCCACATTTCAGTACTTCACAGTTCACAGTCTTTGTAATATGTTTTAGCAATACATATGTAATATTTATAATGTGTTTAGAACTTTTTTTGTAAAATTGCCTTTACGGGGACTTTAAAATCATTGTCAAATCTTTAATGTCACATGGTTTAGGAAATCAGTTTTTGCCACGCGTACCATTTTATTATGTTTCATGCTGTTTTCTTCCTCCATCTTTTATACATTCGTCCTGAGAGTTGCTTTAAAATTTGCAAACTTTTGATATGGTTGTGCGTGAGATGACAACATCAGTGTTGACATGGAGCTTATTTGTGAAGTGACCCTTCATGGTGCTTGTGTTTAGGGATGCGTGGAATTCTCTTGGAGAAATGGCAAAAGAGGAAGCGATGGCAGCCTATGTGGATGACTTGAAACTGGTATTATGTGTTGGATTCTTTAGCAGTGTTTGAGAATGTAGTATGTAACGTAATTGTTTGTGTTTCAGCTTTGTTGTTTGGTTTTATATGTGCTGAACAGATTCTGGAAAGTATGCCGGTAACAAATGAGGTAGAGGAGCTTCTGCTGATCATTGGACCATTCTACGAGCTCGTTGATGAAAAGAGGAAGATATCGCAAGTGTCAGATTTAAGCTCAGGTAAACTGACCACCAATAGTGCCCTCTCGGGTCTCGCACAAATTGTATTTTGGCCAAAAATCAAATGGAAAAAATGCTTCTTTTTTTTACCTTTTTTTAGATTTCTTTTATAGTTTTTTTATTTTATTGGTAAGAACTACACTCACCTAAAGGATTATTAGGAACACCATACTAATACTGTGTTTGACCCCCTTTCGCCTTCAGAACTGCCTTAATTCTACGTGGCATTGATTCAACAAGGTGCTGAAATGTTGGCCCATATTGATAGGATAGCATCTTGCAGTTGATGGAGATTTGTGGGATGCACATCCAGGGAACGAAGCTCCCGTTCCACCACATCCCAAAGATGCTCTATTGGGTTGAGATCTGGTGACTGTGGGGGCCATTTTAGTACAGTGAACTCATTGTCATGTTCAAGAAACCAATTTGAAATGATTCAAGCTTTGTGACATGGTGTATTATCCTTCTGGAAGTAGCCATCAGAGGATGGGGACATGGTGGTCATAAAGGGATGGACATGGTCAGAAACAATGCTCAGGTAGGCCGTGGCATTTAAACAATGCCCAATTGGCATTAAGGGGCTTAAAGTGTGCCAAGAAAACATCCCCCACACCATTACACCACCACCACCAGCCTGCACAGTGGTAACAAGGCATGATGGATCCATGTTCTCATTCTGTTTACGCCAAATTCTGACTCTACCATCTGAATGTCTCAACAGAAATCAAGATTCATCAGACTAGGCAACATATTTCCTGTCTTCAACTGTCCATTTTTGGTGAGCTCTTGCTAATTGTAGTCTCTTTTTCCTATTTGTAGTGGAGATGAGTGGTACCCGGTGGGGTCTTCTGCTGTTGTAGCCCATCAGCCTCAAGGTTGTGCATGTTGTGGCTTCACAAATGCTTTGCTGCATACCTCGGTTGTAACGAGTGGTTATTTCAGTCAAAGTTGCTCTTCTATCAGCTTGAATCAGTCGGCCCATTCCCCTCTGACCTCTAGCATCAACAAGGCATTTTCACCCACAGGACTGCTGCATACTGGATGTTTTTCCCTTTTCACACCATTCTTTGTAAACCCTAGAAATGGTTATGCGTGAAAATCCCAGTAACTGAGCAGATTGTGAAATAATCAGACCGGCCCGTGTGGCACCAACAACCATGCCACGCTCAAAATAGCTTAAATCTCCTTTCTTTCCCATTCTGACATTCGGTTTGGAGTTCAGGAGATTGTCTTGACCAGGACCACACCCCTAAATGCATTGAAGCAACTGCCATGTGATTGCTTGATTAGATAATTGCATTAATGAGAAATTGAACAGGTGTTCCTAATAATCCTTTAGGTGAATGTATAATAATCATTTTATAATTTAATGTAAAAATTCAGCTTTGCATTACAGGCATAAATCACATTTTAATTATATTATTTTAGAAAGCAATTATTTAAAATTATTATAATGTTTTAAAATATTATATTACTATTTTTTTTACTGCATTACAGACTTATTCATAAAAAAAAATCGACCCAAAATATTAGGAACGGTGGTATTTATGTAAACATATAAAACATCTTGTTTACATTAATTAACTAATCACCGCTTTGTTTCATGCTCAGCCCGCTTGGAAAGATTTGCTAGGCAACTTGAAGGCAAGTGATTATCAGTGTGTTCTCCCAGTGGCCTGTACCCTTAGTTAGTAGTGCTATAGTTCAGGTGTTTCCTTTGACACCTCAGTTGTTCCCTCACTGCTATTATTAGTGTAGATTGCAGGTTTGTAGACAGTCCGGATAGAACAGACCTTTCAGAAAGTGTGCCTATCGAGTTTCAGAACATATCCTCAAAGCATCATCTTAGAAATGTATTGATGTTCCAACCAGGCTTTGGGAACCTGCTAACGTCACCACCCAAAAGTGTCACAAAAAGCATCATCAGGACGATGGAGATGAACGGCAGCCTGGACAGTTACTCTGTCAAAACACCAATAATGCCAAAGACTAAATTAATAGAGCTGGAAGATGGAGTAAATGATAATGAGGAGGAAGAAGAGGAGAAAGACGATGAAGAGGAGGTTAAAGAGGTGAAAAAAGGTAAACTTAACTTAATATTAGGGCTGTGTTGAAAAAAATCGATTCACCAATTCTGAATCGATTTTCATATTAATTTCTAAAGATCGATCCGTAACTCAGGGGATGGATTTGTCTCCCAAAAAGTCAACAGTAATTCCAGCTTCACTTCCATACTCACTTGCATACGTTTGCAAAAATGATGAGGATGCGAATTAAAATGAATTTTCGCAATGATTTTATGACTAATCTCTTCATCCAACATCTCATCTACAACATACGACAAACTAAATAAAAACGATTAGGTTGATCAAATACTTATTACAATGTTTCTCTATCGGGCTTGAAACCGTAAAACCTACGCCATCGTAACTGTTTGTATCACTGTGTATACAAGTGCTGAGGAAGCCTCTGTGATAATAGGCGTTTTGTTTCTGGCATGCACTGTATGCAGTAGACCAATTAGAAGAGTAGGATGGCAGAAATGTGAGATTTAGAGAGACCGAATCCTTTATCGAACCGTTTCAGGCCCTGTTTACACCTCGTATTAAGATGTGTTTTGATTGATCGGATCCCAAAATACAGGTGTAAACAGGGTCTAAACTGTCTTTTTTTTAAGCTCGTCCACTTTCAAACACTTCCAGTGGTAGTTGAAAACACGTTCGACCGGATTGCTTTTGTAAATGCTCATGTGGTCGAATGTGTTCGAACAGCCACAAAAGACCTTCTACTCTCCGCCTACTGACCTAATGCACAAACATTATGAAAGCCACATAAGACAGACAAGATGGAAACTATGTTCAAAACTTGCTCATAAACTTGTTCAAATGTACATTCCGTGAGCTTATTTTGTCAATTAGATCGAAAGATCTGAAAAAGCCCATACATTTACCCAGTCATAGACCCTTCCCTCAAAGAAATGCAGGACAGAAGTGTTTGAAAGTGGACAAAAGGCACCAGGGCCCGTATTCATAAAGAATCTTAATGCAAAGAGAGAGTAGCTCCTGACAAAATTCTAAGAAAATTCGTAGAAATGTGGGTGTTTACTCTTAAAATTAAAGAAAAAATCCTAGTAAAGAAAAAAGTAATTCAGAGAGTATCCTAACCCTTAAAAGAGGTCTTAAGGTCAAAGTTGTAAGGAGGACGGATGAGGACTTTTAAGAGGCTTAAGAGTTTCTTTGAGTTAATAAGACGCTATAGATTGAAACCTGGCCCAAATTTTCCTTTAAAGGTATACTCCACTTTTTTTGGAAATAGGCTCATTTTACCACTCTCCTAAGTTAAAAAGTTAAAAAGTTGAGTTTTACCGTTTTCAAATCCATTCAGCCGATTTTTTTGATATTTAGAAGAATATCAGTAACCAGACAGTTTCTGGTCCCATTGACTTCCATAGTAGGAAAAAAATATACTATGGAAGTCAATGAGACCAGAAACTGATATTCTTCTAAATATCAGAAAATCGGCTGAATACATTCGAAAACGGTAACTCTGGGGGAGTGGTAAAGTGAGCCTATTTCCAAAAAAGGTGGAGTATCCCTTTAAGGATGGCCTCAAAGTTTATCCACTAACAGTAAACACTGTTCCTCTGTCCAGTCGGGCTTTTTTGTCCTTCTTGGTTTTGATTCCATGTTTGTTACATTAAAACCAACATTCAAACCACCACTTAAATACACAGCAATCAGTGTAATTGGAAAGAGTGGAACCCTTTTTATCATTCTAAGCCAATCAAATACTTTAGGAAATTAACAGCATGGTAAATAAAAAAATGATTTATATACACGTATATAATGGGTGCGTGTGTGCGTAGAATGGTAAAATAGGAAAAATAATGCATGTAATTTCAAAGTGAAGGCTTAGAATAGACCCTATAATTAAAATCACTCTTTTTTTTCCCTTCTTGGACAACCAACCAATCACAGTCTTCAAAAGATTTTGTCATACATAGCAACGGGGTCAACCCCGCCAACTCACTAAGATGGAAGTTTTTGTCTTTTCCTCACTCAGAGTTGCTCTCAGATCGGTCCTGAATCGCTCTTAAGCTAAGACTCCTACGTAAAAGTTTTTAAGCTAAATTAAGAGTTTTCTGAGAGGATTCTCAGAACGAGGCCCAGGTGTAAACGAGAATGTCTTCCTCGTCTACTTGTGATCCGATCGGCCAAAACGCAGGTGTAAACAGGGCTTCAGATACTGTGTGAAAAGATGCTGCAATGTACTGTACATTATGAGAATTTAAATGCATTTAATCCTATTGAAGGAGACCTCCAGAACAAAATTAAGAACCTTTAAAATAGCATAATTGGGGCACTTTAAAAGTTGAATAGTCTTGAAGAGTCGTACATTAAAGGAGGGAGTCGGGACTGGAGTCAGAGACTGTTTCTTGATGCTATTTTGTAGTGGGTCAGTTCACAACAACTTAGATGCCGTAAAAATAGAGCGTATAGCATTGTGAGCTCTAAATCTCTTCATAATACATGCAATAATCATGCTTTCTCGACAACTTTTTTTAGCCTCACAACCGAAGAAAAGGGCTTCTACAGGGAGACTTAAAGGACCGGTATCTAACGGCAATATCAGTCAACATAAAGTCCTTACCAATGGAACACACGGGTCAATGTCTGATCTAAACAGGCAAGATTCAGAAGAAGACTCTGAAAGCATTAACCATGCCGGAGACATCGTAGAGCTCAGACACATTAAAAGTGAGGAGAAGGACTTTGAAGGTAATCATTTACCGATACAGCTAAGACTTTAAAAGTAAGATCTTGAACACAATATCAGTAGTTATCTGAACTTAAAGACTCAATGTCTTGCATATGAAACAGAAGATGTGTCCAGTTCTCACCATGTGGCCAGTGATTCAGACAGCGAGGTGTACTGTGACTCTGTCGACCAGTTTGGCGGAGACGAAGTAAGCAGATTTCAGTTTACACTTACATTATGTCCCAACCATCATTTACTTGATGTTAAGAATTTAAGATCCGTGTTGCGGTCACATTAGTGAAATGTTGGCAAGATGTTGAGGACAAAGGTTAGGCATTATCTATTGTCAATAGTGTGGCAATGTTTCAAACCAAGCAGTTTCTGTTGGCCAGAATATGTTACGAAATAGGTCTTGGGAAATCTTTCACCCTCAAGAGAAGTGGATTCCTATTGCAATGACTGGATTTCGCCCGTGCAAATTTGCCCAACAAACATTAATGTGACCGCACCATGATTGTTTGCCTGATTTCTAGCAAAATGTCAGCAATGCATGTGGCTTTGCTTCTTGACACCAGGGATCTGAGACACACATCAACCACTCACTGGACGTGGCCGAGGAGAGCCACAGCAGGCTGTCCTCCACAGAGGAGGTCCGATCACAGGAGGAAGTGCTGGGACAAGAGGAAGGTGCACAGCATGGAGGAGAAGATGGACGGGGCAGCGAAGGAGCTTCTCAGAGACAGGGACTTCCTGCGAATAGAAGTAACAGTTCTGTGGTCAAGAGGGGAAGAGGTAAAACCTAGCAGCCCAAAACACTAGCGATCATATAAGCATATAACCTTGCCAGCTTGCTTTTATTGTCCACTCACAGCAATTTTTTTCAAAAAAAGTTTGAAAAACCTTTGCAGCGTTATACTGTTGGCAAACATCCCGCTACCGCGCACGCCGCTAAGAGCTGATGACAAAATCGACGACACTTTATGCATACGCTAGCAAACTTGGTATACTTAGCCGTAGTGGACAATTTACACAAATCAAGTACTTGAGTAAAAGTACAGATACTCTATTAAAATATTACTCCAGGAAAAGTATTAAATACCTTTTCATTTCTTTACATTTGGAAGGAGACATAGCAAGGTATTAGAAAATGAGGAAAAACAAAATGTGTGTTGACAGAGCATATAAAAACAGAAATCACATAGGGATAAATGCATAAAAAGAACATTATGCCAACAGTAAAAGGAAGATGCATGGGCATTCATTTGCATTATTTTATAGTTAAGGTTTAAACCTACCCTGTTGAGATGGTGATGTGGACATGTATTACAGCTAGGGGTGTAACGATACCCTCATGTCACGATTCGATACATATCACGATACTGAACTCACAATACGCTATTATTGTGATACTCCAAGACATATGGTAAAAGGTTAACCAAAAACTTGGACTTGGTGCTTGTAACCCAAAACAATGCTGAGACCAGAATCACAATATTCATGATTCTGAAGCTGAAAATACAGGATAATTTTCGACGAATATAACACTCTGTCACTGACTAGATATATTTTAAATAAATGTCAGGTAATTTAAGACATTTGGCATTATCAGGACCCACAAATATTCCCCCATTGCATTATATTACATTATAATCAACATTATATATAGTAGTTTAATGTAGTACTGATACGAAAACTCTGAATTTTTTCTCACATTGTATTTTTATTTTGGGGGAACTATCCACGATACATATCGTCACTTTCCACGATACGCGTTGCTGAATTTTTGTATTGCGATATATTGTTACACCCCTAATTACAGCAGTGGATTTTTAATAGGCCCATTGAAAACAATCCGCTCATTCACGAATCAGACTCCGCTGTCTTGGAGCATGTGACGATTTATTCAGTTTAAAGGGATAGTTCACTTTGAAATTAATTTTTGATATGTTTTAGCTTACCTCAAGGGCATCCAAGATGTAGGTGTCTTTGTTTCCACAGTATTTGAAATTTTGACATTTTTCAGTCAAACCGTTGTTGTCTATAAGTCATACACTGGAGGCTAAGGGGGTCCACCAAAAAGCATGCACAGAGAAGTCAAAATTAAACATGATTTAATGACTCGCAAATGTAAGTACACATTGATGGCCTAAGACACGAAACGAGCGGTTTCTGTGAGAAAACGAACAGTATTTATATCGTTTTTACCTCGTATAATCACAGTGACGTCCAAGTGATCTGAATCAGTTGTGCAATGTCCAACTGAACCGAACTGAATCAGTTCAATGTTACGCCGGAAGTGATCGCTTACGTGTGACGTCACTCAATATTTACACAGAGATTTCCGAAGTTTTACCTTTTACAAAACATATTTGAATATACCGAAATCGTCTTCCATTGTGGTTTCCCGTATATCTAAATATGTTTAGTGAAAGGTAAAACTTCCGAAATCTCTGTATAAACAAAGAGTGACGTAGGCGCGCAAGCGATCACTTCCGGCGCATGCGCAGACCGAAGCGCCCGTGCCGTCAGATCATTTTGTCATGGCTATGATTACAAGAGGTAAAAACAATATAAATACTATTCAATTTCTCACACAAACCGCTCGTTTCGTGTCTTAGGCCATCAATGTGTACTTACATATTTACGAGTCATTAAATCATGTTTAATTTTGACTTCTCTGTGCATGCTCTTTGGTGGACCCCCTTAGCCTCCAGTGTATGACTAATAGACAACAACGGTTTGACTGAAAAATATCAAAATTGAAAATACTGTGGAAACAAAGACACCTACATCTTGGATGCCCTTGAGGTAAGCTAAAACATATCAAAAATTAATTTCAAAGTGAACTATCCCTTTAAAGTAATGAGGAACGAGATGTGTTTTAGGAATTTGAGTAAAAAGTACAATATTAGGCTTTAAAATGTAGTAAAGTAAGTAAAAATGTTTTGAGTATTTTTATTTTAAGTACTGTTGCTGGTTGCTGCTGGAAGAGGTGTTAGTGAGGCCAGCAGGGGGCGCTCACCCTGTGGTCTGTGTGGGTCCTAATGCCCCAGTATTGTAATAGGGACGTTATAGTGTATTCTTTTTACCACCAAGCTAAGAACCTTCCCGTGAGTATATCAGGGTCTTTACGAGCACACACGAGTATTCGGTTAAAATAGTCAGCTAGGAATGAAATATGTTAAACTTTTCCTGACAAAGAAGACTTCTGCATTGAGTGCACATATGATGCCTTAAAATGCTTCCTAGGTAGGCAGTTCACTAGGGTTTGGAACAGAGCTGAAGTCCTCAAGTGAACCCTTTTTCTTTAATCTGTTAATGATCTACAGAATGTTGTTTGTCTCGTGTGTATCAGGGTCCAGGTCACCTGCCTTTGGCTCCGGGCCTGCAGGATCACAGCAGGGCAGTGGGGGAGATGGGGAACGCTGGGGGACGGGCGGACCTGTGATGGAGAACCTCAACCAACAGATCATCTGTGCTCTGGCCAGACTGCAGGAAGACATGCAGAGCGTGTTAGAGAGACTGCACACGCTAGAAGCTCTGACAGCCGTACAGGTTACAAACCCTCACCTTTATCAGATCAAGATAGAGAACAGATTCAATCTGAAATTTAACATTATTCATTTGTCATGTGCCACTTCTCAGGCCCGATCCTTAGCGCTGCCGTCAGACTACCTGTCACCGCCTGTAAATAAAACTAAGAAGGTAGAGTCATTGCAATAAACTGATTGATGGGATGTTTTTAAGAGTTTTAAGACTAAATAGGAGAGCATTCCTGTAGTTTAAACTGCTAGCAACACCAAGGTCATGGGTTCAATTCTCAGTGAATGCTTGAACTGATAAAATGTCGAGTGCATAGTTGTAAATGTTATTTTGTACCCTAGTCATAAGAAGGAAAGTTACTTATGTCCAAGATCTTTTTATTTCATTGCCATAGAACGAGTGCTGAAATAATATTTGAACTTTGTTATTATTATAACGTTTTTGCTGTTTACACTTTACAGAAGCCATCCTGGTGGCCTTTTGATGTGTCTCCTGGAACTGTGGCCTTCGCCGTCATCTGGCCATTTGTGGTGCAGTGGCTCATCCGTCTGTATCTGCAGCGCAGGAGAAGGTACGCACTGTCATGTTAGCTGTGTAACACAATACTGATAAAAAAAAGAAGAAATTAATACTTTTATTCAGCAAGGATGTATTAAATTTATTAAAATTGATAATATAATAGAAATTAGGGCTGTGCAAAAATTAATTGCGATTAATCGCATCCAAAATAAAAGTCTGTGTTTACATAATATATTTGTGTGTGCTGTATATAATTATTTTGTATATATAAATACAAACACATGCATGTATATATTTAAGAAAATGTGTTAATCTATATTATATAAATATTTTATATATGAATATGTATTTATATATATATATATATATATACAGAATTTAAGCGCAAATAATTCTTAAATATATACATGCATGCATAGGTATTTATATATACAAAATAATTATATACAGCACACACAAATATATTATGTAAACACAGACTTTTATTTTGGATGCGATTAATCGCAATTAATTTTTGCACAGCCCTAACAGAAATATATATATTTTTCAAATAAATGCCGTTCGAATCAAAGAAATACCCCACCTTACAATTTCCACAAATATATTTACTTGGCACAACTGTTTTCAACATTAACTCTTTCCCTGCCTTTGCCTGGGAATCCATGTTTCCACTGTTCACTGAAAGAGTGATATACAGAATTCAAAACACTGACAAAAAAGGAGCAGAAACAAGTAATAAGAGCATTTCTTATGTATGTTGTTTTTTTTTGGGTTTTTTTATTAAACTTACCCCCCATTCAAGTGTTGATAAAAAATAATGTATGCTAGAATAAAATCATTTTATTTAGAAGCTAGAATAAAAGTGAATCACAGGAATAAATTTGACTTTTGAATAAATATATTCACATAAAAAACAGTTATTTAAAATTCCAATTATATTGCAAAATTATATTAAAAATCTTACGATAACGATAATCTTGCGAAAAAAAATAAAAAACGATAATGAATGCTATGCAAGTATAATTGCAAATTCTAATAGATGCCACATTTTCAAAATATCCGGGTTAAATAAAATAAGACCAAGTTGGAGAAATCAGCATGTAAAAACAGGTATGTCTACAGTTAGCATGAAACAGAAGTTGCGATAGTCTTTTCTTCTCAAACAAGAACAAATGTTGGGCGGGACTTGATTTTGTCCATAAGGGGAGTGGATTTGGATGGTTGTGGTTTGCCATTGGTGAATCTCATGTGAGTGACAGGTTGTCCCGCCCTCATACCAGTAAACATCATCATAGAAGAGATAATTTTGATTTCATGGTGATTTTAAGATTGTATGATGTTGTTGCAGAAGAATCAACTGAAAGGAATGAACTGATGGTTGGATCAGAGGAGAGGTGTGTTGCGTTTAGGAGGAGGAGGGCGTTTCTCTGCCTGTCCCGTGATCTCTAACTCCTGCTTTTGCACTATGATGACGACAACTCTTGAGAATCAGTGAACGGAAAGACTGAGTGAATGTACAGCATTACAGATTATCAACTTTTTTTTGTAACTTTTTTTTTTTTTAGTGTAAAATTGACAGTGTGAAATCTCTGATTTGGGTAATTAAAAGTAGTAATTATCTTTCATAGTAGTTATGAAAACCCAGTTAATAAAAATGCATTATTATAACTTATGTCACTTATATATAATTCAGTGTTCTGTGCTCATATAGCTGCTAACTGTCATTAATACTGTAGCAAAGATTAAGATGCACTGATGAACCAGTAACCGGCCCACATCAAGGGCTGCGAATAGCAAATTTGTTAGAGGTACTAAGAGTAACATTTTTAATATCTAGTCTTGACATTTGCTCAAGTGATCTGTGGTGCTTATCAAAGCCATAATGAGCAAAATCATGCGTATTTTAAGGGTCAGAAGGCAATAAAGAGATTTATGTTCTTCATCATCACCTTTAAAAGTGTGTAGACGCTGAACCACACATAATACAAAAATCGGCGCATCACTGCATTAGATACAGAATATTAAAGCAAGTATCATTTATTTTAAATGGAGATAACAAGCACACTTTAAGAACATTTTCCCCAAAAAAAAGTCTAATTTCAAATAACACACACATTTGTCAACATGGCTGCATCGTTACAGATGTTAATTTGTGGCTGTGGTGAATTATTTGAACGTTACTACAAGGTCCGTGTGCATGAGAAATCCTTGTTTGCAGGGTTGAGATTGCCCAGTTGAAATTTAAAGCACTTTAGATGAATAAAGATAGTGACTAAAACTAATGCAAGGCTGAAATCTAATGAATCATTTATGTAGGCTGTTTTTTTTTTTTTTTACTGAGACATACAAGTGTTTCATTGTAGTTTGTGTAAATGAGTCAATAATTCCTTTAATAATTGTATATTAGAAATGCGCTAAAATATATACACGAAGAGTTCTATTTTAATTGTACTATACTATAATGTAGCATTTGCATATATTATTCATGTCTGTACTACTTTGAATCATCTGTAGAGCAGGAGGTTCTTGATTTGATGCTTTTGTTCTGACGAAACATCGTTCCTATTAAAACAGTAGATATATGATAAGCGCATGTTTCACCACTCACAATATGTTAGACTTAAGCATTATTAAAAGCTTTTGAAAAACTGAATGGTTTTTATTTCCATCTTGCTTTGTATTTAATGTTATATTTATTTGCATTATCAGATGTATGTATTTATTTTTTATTTGTTGTATTTTATATAATCTTTGTAATACACACCAAACTTGGTAGAATGGTTATAAATTCATCTGGAAACATCTGTATTGGTGACACAAAAATAAGTGAATTCTACATAAATTTTACATAAAATAATCAAATGATTTTCCATTTTAGTCTAGAAAGACAAACTATTTAAATTTTAACTAGTTGTTTAATGATTTATATACTGTTTATTTTATTCAGAGTCCCAAACATGACTTACAAAAGAATTTATTACATTTATGACCACGTTGTACACGTTTGTTATTTTAATTTAATTAACCCTCTGGTGTTCACTCATTTTTTAATGAAAACGTTTTTGTTTTGTTTTTAAATTGTACAAAACATGGTAAAGGTTTTGGCACTTGCTATGTGAAAAAAAAAATCATGGACAAGGTTAAATGGTCCTGAAAAAATATTCACATTAGAAACGAATGGTAAGTGAAATTCATTCATTGGAAAGGTTTGGTACTGCCCAAACAAAATATTACTGAAAGCTTTTTTTTTTTTTATACAACCTCAAATTTGGAACTTTTAGATTCATGGCGTTGATTTATTTCACATCAAATTTAAAAATAGTCTTTTTATGCATTTTTCACAATTAACAAAATTCTATAACTTGTTTTAGATTTATTTAATTTATTTTTACACCTTTTTTACACTTTTACAATAATTGCAAAGTGTCTTCTTTAAAAAGAGACCAAACTTAAATCTTTGGTTCAAAGTATTCGAGATTTACAGCAGATTAAGATGCTCAAAACAGCATAACTATTCCATAAATATAACCCTTTCTAGATTGATGGCAGCAAGATTTGCTTCTCCAAAGATCATTTTTGATTGACTTCCATAGTATATTTTTTCGTACTAATGAGACCAGAAACTGTCCGGTTACTGACATTCTTCTAAATATCAGAAAATCGGCTGAATGGATTCAAAAACGGTAAAACTGAACTGTTTGACTCTGGGGGAGTTGTAAAATGAGCCTATTTCCAAAAAAAAAAAGTGGAGTATCCCTTTAACAATGCCCCCTTTCTTTCACATGACATACATATTTATATATAAACTATATACACATATTTATCCACGAAGATCGGGCCTCTATATTGTATGCATATTTCTGTGAGAACCGGCCAGCAGGTAGAGAATTCATTTATTTCTATCTGACAAACAGTAGGCTTTAGGTTTCAAGTGAAAATCAGAAATAACGCCCATCTATTAATACAACAGTTGTATTTTATTTAATCATCTTAAAAATAGGAAAGTAACAAGTTATAATCCTCAAACATTTTAAGGTGTTGTGTATATTAAAGAATTACAAATGAATAAAACTGATGTTTTTGAAGCAGCAACCATGTTCAAAACCATACTTGCTTTAGACTAGTTAAAACATTTAGCATGTTAAAATTACAACCAGACAAGTAGTTTTCAAGAATACATGAGTTAAAAACAGCAGTCTTCCGTTTAAATGTGCACTAATCAGACAGCAAATAGTACTGTTGCAAAATATATTACTTTTTTCCCCCAAAAAAAGATGAAGATTTTATGCCACAAGTTTTGCAGCATTTATGTGCTCACTGCATTTCAGAACGCTCTCCAACATTACATCATTCTGCAGAACATAAAAACATCTGACATGAATAACAGACAAACTGAGAAGGACAAACAAGAGCACTGTGGGATCTGTATTCTTCAGAGCTTCTACAACACAGCTGTACCCGAACATACTGCGTGAGCCCATTGCGCTACTAGTGTGTGTGTGTGTGTGTGTGTGTGTGCTTACAGACTGAAGCCCGATACAGTGAGATGTTGGGCTGTGTTTCTCGCCTCGAAGTACGAGGTGTCGGTTTCATCATCGGGCTGAGGGATGAAGGGCATACTCTTATGATGAAGGTTTTCCCAGTCCACACCCTCAAAGAACGCATGATTCTTCAGTTCTGCAGAAAGACACAACATTCATGAAAACATGCCAGTGTTGAGTTTAAGGTAGTTTTAAGAATTGTTGTCTTTAACAATTCTTGTTAGTAAGATTTACAAGTTTTAGATGCTAAACCAATAATAAAAAGTTTAAAACAACAATAAAAAAAATACATTTTGGCAACAGTTCTTTTAACCCTAATTGATGGAGTGTGTAGATTTTTGTTTATTAAACAACCAGACACATCGTGGCCAAATTCCAGGATGACAATGTCAAGATTCATCAGGCTCAAATTGTGAAAGAATTGTTTGGAGGAGCGTGAAGAATAATGTTCACTTCACACATGAATTGGCACCTCTGAGTCCAGACCTTAAAGTCATGAAAGTGTTTGGGATGTGCTGGAGGAGACTTTACAGAGTTCTGGACTCTTGCTTCGTCAATTCAAGATCTTGAGCAACAATTGATTAAATAATGGAAATAAATGCAATGTTATTTCCATCAAGAGGTGTGTTCATTTTTGGTCAAGATCTTATCACACCCATAGACAAAAATCACTTCAATGACTACCTTACAATCCACATTTGAATATCGCAACATCAACGTCCATCATAAAATAATGTGCATAACACACAGTAGCAAAGGGTCCAGAAAGTGCAGGCATTACCTGGAAAACCCACACTACCAGAGGTTTTGAGTACGTTATTGCTTTCCAAGAAGGAGAAGGCGGCCTGAGCGTCAGAGAATAATACATAACGCACATGAGTATAATGGCTCGTTTCCACTGAGTGGTACGGTACAGTTCGGTTCGGTACGCAATTATTTGCGTTTCCACTGTCAAAAGTTGTGAATGTTACCAAAAAGCCGAACCGAACCGTACCGTACCACTTTTTGGGTACCCTTCCGTTGGGGTACCTAGCACAGTGAAAGGGTACTAAAAGGTGGAGCTAGACTCACTGCAGAAAGGTGATTGGTGGACAGAGTGTCGTCACTCGCGCGTGCTACAAGGGCATTAGAAGCATACAGTTGAAATATAATTCTACTGTTATTGTGTCACGAAATGTAGTTTTAAGAGTTTTTCAGGCGAGAAAGTAGTTTTTTAAAGATCAGATCTGTGGTTTATAGATTTATGATAATTTGACTGAGATCCATTCCAAGCGATCACCGGACGCTCGCGCTCGTGTCCCCCGCCTGGAACAGCCTTTCCTCGGCTAGTCGTCCTGATGTTTGCCGCTGACTCGGACGTCTCTGTAGTGGTTAAATATGAGATATAGTTCGTCTTGTATAAACCCAACAGGTGATCTTTGGTCTCGTGAATCTATAATTCGTTCCCTGGCCAATAGTTTTGGCAGAAGGCTAGTATTTGAGCGCTGAATTTGTATATTTGACTGACTGAATTGTTTCTTGATGTTATTTAAGCTTTACTGTATATATTTTTGTACCTTTTACTTATACTTTTATAATGGCTATTATTGATATAACTGAAATTCAACAAAAAGAGATAGTTTTGTCATTTTTTTATTTTATTACAAGATCATCTGTAATGTTGTTTATTGCAACATTTGTACCAATGCGATATGCAATACATTACATATTGCCTGGAATATGTTTAATATTTTAAAATTTAAACGAAAAGAGGCAGGGTTGTTTTATATTTAGTTTTGTTATAAATATAACGTTACATACATGCAGTGATAATCAATAGGCTATGCGTTGCCTGAACCACATTTGTGTGCTTTAGAATGTTTCAAATGTATTGAAATGAAATCGAAAAGAAGCAGAGTGGTGTTTTATAACATATTTCGTTTTATTGTTGCCTAAAATGAACATACAGAGATAACCGGAGTCGCATACAGCCAGAGCGAGCAGAGTTCAAGAACGCGCTGTTCCATTAACAGAATTACTGGAATCGCGTCCTCGTGATCATTCTCCTTAGTTGGACTTTGCGTTGGCTTCTTGGAAACGCCTAATGCCAGCGCTTGTTTCTAGTGACAAACATGCCGAGATGCAAGAACAAGATCTACTGTGTGTCATCCATTGTTGTTTACTATGTCGCTTTCTTCGCGCGAAAATGACGTCGATCGCTTCTTTCCAGCATACCACGCCTATCAAGTAAGGGTACTGTTGGCGGTGGAAACGCAAGCCTGATCATGGTGTACCCGACCCGACCCGTACCGTACCCCTCAGTGGAAACGAGCCAAAAATGTATTCTTTACTCGCTGAAACTGGATCGGAATGATCAGCGAACTGAGTGAAATACTTCACACTGCATGCTAGAGAGAATAAAAGCCAA